AAGCTAGTGGTGTCTGAATAACAGGTAATTCAGAGATACGAACGGATTTAGACTTAGTTTTTTTTCCTCCAAACTTTTTTACCTTACTTCCAGAAATAACATTACATTCCACAGGGTCTGCTTGCTGAGGCGAACCAGGTTCTTCCGAAAATCGATTTATGTCTTTAGGATCTATTTGTGGATGGGCTCCTCTCCATATTTGATATACCCGTCGTGATGATATTTTGTATTTGTTAGCCATGGCTTCCGATGCTCGCTTCATTGAATTTTTAGCTTTAATAATATCCTGAATATCTTCAGCTGATAGAGGGGTCGCATCTGAACGTAGATACTGAAGCATTTTTTACAGATAGATATAAAAAAATCTTTCGAAAAATTATCGGTGTATTTTCGATATAATTTTGATATTCAATCGATTTTTGTTCGATATTATCGATTTATTTTCGGTAGATTCGGTACATTCGATCCATCCGATATATTCAGTATATTCAGTACTATCGATATATTTTCGGTAGATTCAGTCCAGAAATTTTTAGACACATTTTTTATATTAGCAACTAAGCCGAAAAAAAAAGGCTATGACCAATGTATATACCTTGAAAAATATCAATAATAAAGATAATGATTCCTTTAAGGGGGTCGGACAACGACTTGGTGGTACATATGAGCAAGAGTTTAAAGAAAAATTATATTCCGCTATTAAATCTAAAGCCGAAATTAATGATCTCAGCGAAAAGCTGGTAGATAAGTACAATGAGCGATAAAAGGAGTTTGAAAATAAAGCTAGCCAGTTAAACGCGTCCAGTACTAAGGTTAGATCCCAACTTATTTCTGAACGGAAGTCTCATTCCGAAAGTCAACGTAAGCTTGAAGTCAAATATACTGCTAAAATCCAATCGCTCAAATCAGAGATTAAAACACTGAAGAGAAAGGCGACTTTGGCCCAGAAAGCTTCGTCCGCTGACAAGGTCCAGATTCTTTCTCTTGAAACTAAAATACGCGAATTGGAAGGTAAGTTGGAGGACATAGATCTAGAGCGCACATATCATGATTTGGATGCAGTGGGAGGGGAGCCGGCCCAAATAAGCTCATCCGAAATAGAATCTCTCAGGCTTGAATTGGAACATGCGAAGGAGGACCGTAATTCGAAAGAATATACAATAGAATGTATGGAAAAGGGGATAGAGTCGTCAAATAATATATTCAAACGGGAAATAGATGCTTTGTATTCAGCGCGATCAAAATTAAGGGAGGAAAATAGGGCCTTCAAGGACCAGTTAGCGTTAAAGAAAAATACTTCATCCCAAATAATTTTGAGTGAGGGGATTCCTTTGGAATCGGTGGCGCAGAAGCAGTACCATTGTCCCAAGAAATACCTCTAGCACCGGCTATTCCTGTCGTTGCAAGTTCTCTAATGTCGCCGATGATAACATATTCCATGCTTGCCTTACTACTGATTGTGGTTATATGGCTCGTGATCAGAAAATGGTGGAATCCATGGGGTATGAATGAAAAAAATGACCGATACTTCACACACGAAAAATATATAAATAGGCCAGATATTTATTATCTCAATACCTAATCGACTACCGTATAAGTACTGGCGCGAGTGGGACTTCTCTGAATCTTCTTTGGATGTGGGCTAATACCTTTTTTGATAAATCTTCAGGCGGATTTATTAATATCTTTTTAGCTTGGGCCAGTGTACATGCAAACAACCATCCAATATGGATCCGGTTACCTCTCTTACCATTATGACCGTGTTATAGTAAATATTGATAGTTATCCATTACGATATCTCTCATCCCTTCCTGATCCGCTATTATTTTGCGAAATAACCATCTATCATCTTCTGTGATCGGGAAATGGATTTTGTTGGGTTCGAAGCCTATGTACTGGGAAACTTGGTCACGTAGTTCGGCCATTATACCAATAAAGCTTATCTTTAAAATATGTGAATTTTTCGGCTGATCGTAAACTTTGATATGCAAAATACTAATAATTATCTCCGGGCATATCTGAGGTTGGGCTGTATGATCGGAGGGATGGATCTCTCATGTTCAGGGTCGGAAGATCGATTATAGGAATTGATGTTAGCCAGTATTATTGCACGAGAAAAAAATATGCGGTCATAAATAATATTGTACGAAGTGCCTTAACGGCTAAGTATTCTTAGCTGAAATTGCCACACCTCCGCTAGAATACTTAACCATATAATTCGATGATATCGTCTATATCAGCTTCGGACGAATCATCGAAATACCTAGAAAGTTCATTGTAAGCCTTTTATATATTTTTTAAGCCATTTTGTTGCCTCATCCTGGGAATATTTGTCGGTCTGCTTTTCCTTTTCATCTGAATATTTAAGTTGCATAATTTTATGTGAAGGTGGTGGTTGGTATCTATCATCCTCATTGATAAAGCGTGCGCACATTCCAACCGTAGTGCCTAAATAATAATTGATATCTATTTCCATCTTTTTCTCTTTTGCTATACCCGCATACTCCATATAATCCCCAACTCTATATGGTATTAACCGGCCTTCCTCACTACGAAGGCGGGAACCCTTCACAACAACATAGCTAAAGCGTTCGCCGGGATCAGGAATCCTCTCATTTCTCTCTCTCATACGTTTCATAAAGCGATTGTTGCAGAGATTATTTTTCTTAGGCTTCCATGTACCCATTACGATAAAATCATTGAAATCCCATTCCTTGTTCTGGGCTTCTCTAAGAGTATCTTCAACAATATCGTGAATTGAGCGTGTATTATTAATATCCATACCCTCTCTCATAATTTTCTCTCCGATGAATTTGAGAAGCTGGGATTTACCTTGCTTTACAGTTTCTATCCCTTTCATGAAAAGGTTTTTCAGCTTAAAGTTTACTACAACTTCATGCCCGACTCCAAAGTACTTCTTTTTGCCAGTAAAGCAGACAGGAAATAATACCTCTTCGTAAGCCATCTTTAGATAAGAGGTCCCACTTTTTATCCTAAGATATGCATTTATCTGATCGCGCAACTTTTTTATTACATCTATAGTAATTTTGACCATTTCGGTTCATTACGCTTCTTTGGATAGTTCTTTTCTAGAGAAGGCTTCATCGCATTTTTCAAAATACTTATCTGGACAGGTAAGATACAAAGAATCAGTATCCCCATATTTGATTCCAAAGCTTTTCTTTTCCACTTATTCTGCAACAATTTTGATATTGTATTTACCAGCGGAAGTGGTTCCTCCGGCCAATGCACGGAGAAAGATTGAAGATAATGGGTTTCCAGCCTCTCCATAAAAGGTATTCATAAATAGCTTGACAGCTTTCTGCTTTGAATTCAAGCAGTCATATTCGAAGCAAAGAGATTTATATTCTAAATCTAACTTCTCAGGAATTCTTTTACCCTTTTCTTTCACCGAACTTATTATCTTTCCAAGTTGATCCTTCTTCTTTCCTAATGAGGCAAGTTGCGCTTTAAGTTCTTGTCTCATCGCAGATAATTCCTCTAATACGGCCGGGTATAAACCTTTCTTCTCAGATCGATTATCATGTCTTATGCACCAAGCTTGAATAGTGCGCTTATTGAATGGAAAGCTAATCTCGTGTAAACTTTTCCCATTCTTTTTTATAATGACAGCCTCCTCTGGATTAAATATAAATTTTTCTGGAGAGAGGTTATAGGCCATAATAAGGCTTGGATATAAAGAT